TTGTACCCAAGAGCGAACGTGAGGCGACCAAACATGAAGAGAATCACCAGCACTGGAATAGCATGCATGTTTTCAGATGACAGATGAGATGACAGAATGAGTGATGCTCCAGAACTCAGTAGATACTGCTCTAGTGTGTTGGATGCGTAACGGGGAGCTACCCCACTGAGATTCTGTTTCTCTGCTTCTTTGTCCAGAGGATTAATTGCTGTTGTAAGTGCTCGGGTTGCTTCTACCCACACCAAACCTGCAGTTAGATTCAAATAAACCACGATGTTACATTTGCACTGGACTAAACAAGCTTTTAACTTGTCCAATGCATTGCAAATGAGCTACAGCATATCATCATAAAGACCATTAAAGAAGAAATTTTGGAAATGACTTCGAAATTGAACTCTTCAACAAGAAATTAATATCGAAAAAAACAAACTCATGGAGTTGTTGGTTCATACCATGTGTCACGCAATCTCTGAGTCTGGGCGACAACTGAGTTTCACCCGAATAAAATAGGTTCGAAACATAATTATACGATGAACAAAGGGGAAATGGTGATAAGGACTAAGGACATTGCAAATTGTCCAGTCGTATGGACGCGAAGAAATGATGTTGAGGACGCTTATCATACAGGTATACATTTGTACCTGTACATGCACGCACTCACGTTAATTAATAAAACAAAACAAAACACAACACAACACAAAAACAAACAACAACAAAAAAAGAAAGAAACGTACACTTACAAATGAACTGAAAACGTAGTCATCAGATATCTGCAATAGCTAAGTTACCAATTTAAAAAGTCCAACATCCTTACCTGCAATAAGAGCAAAGGCAGAAACAGCTTGCCACTGAAGCGTGAAAACTAGTTTGTCTTCCAAACTTGGCAGATGAGGTCTTGGTATAGGACCGTAGACTGCTACAAGAGCAACCAGCAACAAAAACACGCTGCCTGCTACAATACCTCGCATAGCGAGCAACTGGTCTTCTCTCACGCTAGCTTTCTTTTCTGAATCAGACGCCATCGTTGTTGATTGAGAGTGGACAGGGCCTAAAACGTGCGAAAATCATAAAATTGCAAGTTGTGACAAAAGTTGAAGTCTATGCGCTTGCTACAAACACACGCGCCTGCGATATTTTCGGTCATCGTTTTGATTTCGATGGGGATTCGACAGTCCACACTAATACCATATGTATGCATTTTCGTTTGAATCACTTTCAAAAGCGTTTTCAAATCGATGCGTTTTCGATGAAAACGCAAACGCTAAGCGTATTAATGTAAGCGGAAGGCCTGGACGAATTGAAATGCATGCGTTTTAAAACGAAAACGCACTAGTGTGCACGGGGTTTAAATCTATGCGTTTGGACATTAATTATGATATAGCCTGCGAGCAAGCTCCGCAGGGCGCTCTGGCAGCGGGGAGGAAAAGGTAGGAGAGCTTGCAACTACGTCTCTGGAATTTGAATTCCATCTCCAACGCCGGCGACTCCCTGTCGACTGAGCTGTCAGATTTCTGCCACTCAGTGCTAAGCGGAAACGAGCGCGAATGTAAACAAACATTGAAAAGCACGTGCCAAGGGTAATGCCGTCATTACTAATATTGTCACCTCCGCCAATGAGCAATTCGCATCGACTTTTTCGATGCAGATATTCAAATTCCAGAGACATAGTTGCAAGCTCTCCTTTCTTTTTCCGCCCCGCCACCAGATCGTCCCGGAGAGCTTGTTCGCGGGCTAATTATGATATAAACGGAAACTCTTTCTCTTTATTCATTCAAGTACAGCCGTGTCATTTTTCAAATTTCAGGTAAATAAAGAGACTATATTAGCGGAATTTTTTATTTCCCAAGCTAGTCAGCTTTTTGAAAAGTCAAATGACAAGAAATAGTGACAACTTACAGTCCGGATGTAATCTGAATGCATTTCCTTGTAACGATGAGTTGAACCTTTCAAGTAAAGTCTGTTATAGTGGGAGAATTCAGGAACTGGGACAAATGCAAAACATGGAAGAACTGCAGCTACCAGACGACTTAACTGACTGTACAGAAAATAATAATAAAAAAAGAATACTCCTGTAGTCTAAAAATAATATTATTATTATTATATTTACTTAGGATGTTACAGAAAACAACAAACATCCCAACTTTGAATGAAGCGAAGGGGGGAGGGGTGTGTATTCTTTTGTTCACCGTAGTTACCCTGTTTGAGTACAATGTCTCAACAATTTTGCCACCGATGGTAGCTTATTTTCATAAAAATCTATAAATCACATATCTGTAAACTCATTGTAATATTCGTTCGTTCCTTCCCATGAAGCTAATTACTATGATTTTTTTTTTTTTTCACCTTAGCTTACTAACTGTCAAGTCTGTAAGCAACACACACACAAAAAAACCAACTCCAATCAAGGGTTCAATTGATCACAAAATATCCGGCAACGAGCATAACAACAGCCTACGGCAAAAGAAGAATAGTTATGATAAAAATATATTCCTCCAAGACAACTTGTGATCAGTTTGGTAATCACGCTCATTGTCTTCATATTCCAAAACCAAAGCTACACTTTGTATTTGCATGTACACATTATTTTTCTGAATTGACCCCAGCTGATCTGACTTCTCCTTAACCATGGTACATTATGTGAGATGGGAACGGAGGGGATAAGATGTCCTGAGCATTATTACTGAAACATATAACATACTGGTGGGTGTAGTATTACGCGCAACGTCGCTTTATTTTCAAGTCGTTTTGCACCAATACCGCAAACAAGTTGCGCGTTTTGGTTGCCCGTTTAACCGAAGGTTTAGACACAGAGTTCGGCAAGATAAATTGTAGCAATTTGTTGGGCATCATGTGGGATAGACAAATGAGACCTTCAAGTCGCGTAAAATACCATGGGTATAAGATTATCTTGCCTGCTTTGTACCTGTAAGAAAAACAATTTCAGGGCAGATAAGTGTTTCTTTATTGACAATAGCTTGTTCTGGTCATAAAAAACGCAACTACAACAACAATTACAACAACAAATAACAAAACAATTTGGCCAATAGGGCAGCCAACTTAATGCTTGGTCAATCATGAATAATTATACATATACATTGCACTTAGATCGTTCATGCATGTAACAATTTTAATTCCCTACAGTTATGAGTCTGTAGGAAACAGGTGTTTTTCAGCCTTCATCATAAAAATGAAATGCCAAGTAGTAATTTTAACAGTTCAGCTTTCTTCTTTGCATGTTTATGTGACTTTATCTTCTCCAAATTTTACAATGAATTACAATCCATCCTGTTACCAAGGAGCCTCTCAGCAGACTGATTGGGATAGTATAAACTTTGAACTGCTACACTTGAACATTCAAATGGACACTTTGGATGAAATCAAATCTGCCTGTTTCTATTGTAACCAAAGTTGTTCATGACCAGGCGGTAGACACAATACGCGTAAACGCAAACAGTCGGGAAGGCTGTGATCATATGCCCAAATGCCCGATGAGCATGGTAGTACTTGTACCCAAGAGCGAACGTGAGGCGACCAAACATGAAGAGAATCACCAGCACTGGAATAGCATGCATGTTTTCAGATGACAGATGAGATGACAGAATGAGTGATGCTCCAGAACTCAGTAGATACTGCTCTAGTGTGTTGGATGCGTAACGGGGAGCTACCCCACTGAGATTCTGTTTCTCTGCTTCTTTGTCCAGAGGATTAATTGCTGTTGTAAGTGCTCGGGTTGCTTCTACCCACACCAAACCTGCAGTTAGATTCAAATAAACCACGATGTTACATTTGCACTGGACTAAACAAGCTTTTAACTTGTCCAATGCATTGCAAATGAGCTACAGCATATCATCATAAAGACCATTAAAGAAGAAATTTTGGAAATGACTTCGAAATTGAACTCTTCAACAAGAAATTAATATCGAAAAAAACAAACTCATGGAGTTGTTGGTTCATACCATGTGTCACGCAATCTCTGAGTCTGGGCGACAACTGAGTTTCACCCGAATAAAATAGGTTCGAAACATAATTATACGATGAACAAAGGGGAAATGGTGATAAGGACTAAGGACATTGCAAATTGTCCAGTCGTATGGACGCGAAGAAATGATGTTGAGGACGCTTATCATACAGGTATACATTTGTACCTGTACATGCACGCACTCACGTTAATTAATAAAACAAAACAAAACACAACACAACACAAAAACAAACAACAACAAAAAAAGAAAGAAACGTACACTTACAAATGAACTGAAAACGTAGTCATCAGATATCTGCAATAGCTAAGTTACCAATTTAAAAAGTCCAACATCCTTACCTGCAATAAGAGCAAAGGCAGAAACAGCTTGCCACTGAAGCGTGAAAACTAGTTTGTCTTCCAAACTTGGCAGATGAGGTCTTGGTATAGGACCGTAGACTGCTACAAGAGCAACCAGCAACAAAAACACGCTGCCTGCTACAATACCTCGCATAGCGAGCAACTGGTCTTCTCTCACGCTAGCTTTCTTTTCTGAATCAGACGCCATCGTTGTTGATTGTTTTTATCTGTACACAGAAATGTTCGTGATCTGGATCGTGGTTATCCTCACGTAAACTTTATGAAAAATGCGTTGAAGTCCGCCGACCAGTAAGGCTTGACTATGACGGGCCCATGTGAAGCGTTATGTATTTTTGTCACAGAAAGACAAACAACAAACACACTACTTTTCTGAGTTGACCCCAGCTGATCCGACTTCTCCTTAATCATGGTACATTTTGTGGGATGGGGAGGGAGGGGGGAAGATGTCCTGAGCATCGATGAGCATTATTACTGAAACATACAACACACTGGTGGGTGTGGTACAGCAATGCCGCAAACAAGGTTGCACGTTTTGGTTGCAGGTTTAACCGAAGGTTCGGCAGGATAAATTGTACCAATTTGATGGGCATCATGTTGGATAGACAGATCACACCTTCAAGTCGCGTAAAATACCATGGGTATAAGATTATCTTGCCTGTTTTGTCCCTTTAAGAAAAACAATTTAAGGGCAGGTAATTGATCCTTTATTGACAATAGCTTGTTCTGGCTATAAAAAACGCAATGAAAACAACAACTACAACAACAATAACAAAGCAATTTGGCCAATGGGGCAGCTGTCTTAATGCTTGGTCAATGATAAATAATTAAATATATACATTGCTCTTAAATCGTTCATGCATGTAACGATTTTTATTCACTATAGTTTATGAGTCTCTGGGAAACAGGTGTTTTTCAGCCTTCTTCTTAAGAATGAAATGCCAAGATATAATTTTAACAGTTCAGCTTTCTTCTTTGCATGACATGTTCATGTGACTTTATTTTCTTCTCCAAATTTTACAGTGAATTACAATCCATCCTGATACCAAGGAGACTCTCAGCAGATTGAGTGGGATAGTATAAACTTTGAACTGCTACACTTGAACATTCAAATGGACACTTTGGATGAAATCAAACCTGCCTGTTTCTATTGTAACCAAAGTTATTCATGACCAGGCGGTAGACACAATACACGTAAACACAAACAGTCGGGAAGGCTGTGATCATATGTCCAAATGCCCGATGAGCATGATAGTATTTGTAGCCGAGAGCGAACGTGAGGCGACCAAACATGAAGAGAATCACCAGCACTGGAATAACATGCATGTTTTCAGATGACAGGTGAGTTGACAGAATGAGTGATGCTCCAGAACTCAGTAGATACTGCTCTAGTGTGTTGGATGCGTAACGGGGAGCTACCCCACTGAGATTCTGTTTCTCTGCGTCTTTGTCCAGAGGATTAATTGCTGTTGTAAGTGCTCGGGTTGCTTCTACCCACACCAGACCTGTAGTTAGATTCAAATAAACCACGATGTTACATATGCACTGAATTGAACATTCAAGCTTTCAACTTGTCCAATGCACTGCAAATGAACTACAGCACATCATCATAAAGACCATTAAAGAAGATATTTTTGAAAATGACTTCGAAATTGAACTCTTCAACAAGAAATTAATATCGAAAACACAAATTCATGGAGTTGTTGGTTATGACTACAGCTACATGCCTGTACAATAAAATATGCCATGTGTCACGCAATCTCTGAGTCTGGGCGACAACCCCGGCATTACTGAGTTTCACCCGAACAAAATAGGTTCGAAACATAATTATACGATGAACAAAGGGGAAATGGTGATAAGGACTAAGGACATTGCAAATTGTCCGGCAGTATGCGCGCGAAGAAACGATGTTGAGGACGCTCATTATACAGGTATACACTTCTACCTGTACATGCACGCACTCACGTTGCTTCAGTCATGAAATTAATAAAACAAAACAAAACACAAAAACAAACAACAAAAAAAAGCAAGAAACGTACACTCACGAATGAATTGAAAACGTAGTCATCAGATATCTGCAATAGCTAAGTTACCAATTTCAAAAGTTAAACATCCTTACCTGCAATAAGAGCAAAAGCAGAAACAGCTTGCCACTGAAGCGTGAAAACTAGTTTGTCTTCCAAACTTGGCAGATGAGGTCTTGGTATGGGACCGTAGACTGCTACAAGAGCAACCAGCAACAAAAACACGCTGCCTGCTACAATACCTCGCATAGCGAGCAACTGGTCTTCTCTCACGCTAGCTTTCTTTTCTGAATCAGACGCCATCGTTGTTGATTGTTTTAATCTGCACACAGAAATGTTCGTGATCTGGATCGTGATTATCCTCACGCAAACTTTGCGGAAAATACGTTGAAGTCCGCCGACCAGTAAGGCTTCACTATGATGGGCCCATGTGAAGCGTTATGTATATCAACGCTGGTAACCAAACATTAAAAGGTCCCCCTTTTTGTCACAGAAAGACAAACAACAAAGACACTACTTTTCTGAATTGACACCAGCTGATCCATCCTCGGAGACCCAGGGGCAGTTAGTCGGGTCGATAAAATGTTCGTGGTGAAAGTTTACTGCCCCTGGGTCTCCGAGGATGCAGCTGATCATCATGGTACATTTTGTGGGCTGGTGAGGGACGGGGGAACCTGTCCTGAGCAAAGATGAGCATTACTAATGAAATATACAACACACTGGTGGGTGTGGTATTACGCGCAACGTCGCTTTTCAAGTCGTTTTCCAGCAATAGGGACCTTTAGCATCAGGTTTTTCGTGGGAAACGGCAAACCGCAAACCGCAAAATGTCACGTGACCACGGCCTTGCGGTCATGTTTGCAGTTTGCAGTTCACGTTTGAACCGCAGGAGGGGCTTCCAGCGGTAAGTGATTTACGGCAAGGTTTTTTGCCACAATAAATTGTACAGCCTCGCGTTTAAAGGTATGAACTAGCTTTTTGTATCCGTTTGCGATGTGTTTGTTGGATTTTTGATCTAGAATCAATGAATTATTGCTGAGTTTTGGGCGATTAAAGTGATGCACTTCCACTTGATGAAAACAACATGGCGGCCCTAAACAAGGAACGCGTAGTTCAAATCCTTTCTGCTGTACCAACAAAGGAAAGTATTCTCTTCCAATCCAGAGTTAATTTTTTTTTCTATCGCGTTTCTGAATTCATAACTTAACTCAGTCTCTGTTTGGTTCCTATTTTTAACGTATCACTCCGCGAATATCATTGTATTTTGCTTATCTCTTTTAGACTGGGGAGCCCAGGCTTCATAAAGCCTTCTGGTTTCTTCTGGGCCCCCTTGCAACCTTACAATTCCTATATGTATTCTTGTATTGTATTGTATTTTGGCTAAATAAAAATGAACTGAACTGAACTGAACGCCTTGCTGAAGTTTGAAATCTCGGCAACGCGAAACTGCAAACGCGTAACTGCGGTTTGCGGTCTGCGGTTTGCGGTTTACCTGATGCTAAAAGTCTCTAATGTCGCAAACAGGTTGCGCGTTTTGGTTGCCGGTTTAAGCGAAGGTTTAGGGCCTCTTCATATGAGCCCGGTTGACCGGGCTGGCTCGGTTACCGGGATGAATTTTGCTTTGGGTTCATATGAGAAATTTCAGCCCGGTTTCCGAGATGAGAAAAGGTCAAAGATCCTGGGTACGAGTTCTGGCGCCAAATTTAGGAAACAAAGCAAACATAGCGAAACACAAAAATTTTAACTTTTGGGCCTATCTTAGCATCGGTAACTCTTAAACCTGTATCACTGCAGTTAAATCGGATGCTTATGATGTGGAAAATACAGCAGGCAATGCAAGACGATGCCATCCGGACCGCCAGAATTCATCCCGCCGTTCATCCCGGTAACCGGGATGAAGTGTTCATATGGCAAAATTTCCAGCCCGCTTACCGAGATCTCGGTTGGAAAAACCGAGATCTCGGGAACCGAGCCAGCCCGCCCTCTCATATGAACACATCGAAAATTTTACAAAGGATTTAGAGGTGAGGCGAGATCTCGGAAACCGGGCCAGCCCGGTCAACCGGGCTCATATGAAGAGGCCCTTAGACAGATAGTTCGGCAAGACAATTTGTAGCAATTTGATGGGCATCATGTTGGATAGACAGATCAGACCTTCAAGTCGCGTAAAATACCATGGGTGTAAGATTATCTTGCCTGTTTTGTCCCTTTAAGAAAAACAATTTAAGGGCAGGTAATTGATCCTTTATTGACAATAGCTTGTTCTGGCCATAAAAAACGCAATGAAAACAACAACTACAACTACAACAACAATAACAAAACAATTTGGCCAATGGGGCAGCTATCTTAATGCTTGGTCAATGATAAATAATTATATTTATACATTGCTCTTAGATCGTTCATGCATGTAATGATTTTAATTCACTATAGTTATGAGTCTCTAGGAAACAGGTGTTTTTCAGCCTTCTTCTTAACAATAAAATGCCAAATTGTAATTTTCACAGTTCAGCTTACTTCTTTGCATGTTTAGGTGACTTTAAATTCTTCTCCAAATTTTACAGTGCATTACAATCCATCCAGATACCAAGGAGACTCTCAGCAAACTGGGTGGGAGAGTATAAACTTTGAAATGCTACACTTTAACATTCAAATGGACACTTTGGATGAAATTAAACCTGCCTGCTTCTATTGTAACCAAAGTTGTTCATCACCAGGCGGTAGACACAATACACGTAAACACAAACAGTCGGGAAGGCTGTGACCATATGTCCAAATGCCCGATGAGCATGATAGTATTTGTAGCCGAGAGCGAACGTGAGGCGACCAAACATGAAGAGAATCACCAACACTGGAATAACATGCATGTTTTCAGATGACAGGTGAGTTGACAGAATGAGTGATGCTCCAGAACTCAGTAGATACTGCTCTAGTGTGTTGGATGCGTAACGGGGAGCTACCCCACTGAGATTCTGTTTCGCTGCGTCTTTGTCCAGAGGATTAATTGCGGTTGTAAGTCCTCGGGTTGCCTCTACCCACACCAGACCTGCAGCCAGATTCAAAGACGTCTTAGCTGGTGTCACATGTGCATTGAATTGAACAACGTTTTGCTCAATTTCTCCTTCTGTCACAGCAGTAACATGCATTGCACCGTAGTTACTAAAACAAGGAATGACCTACAATGACCTACAATGATCTACAATGACCTACAATGATCTACAATGAACTACAATGAGCTACTATGACCGAACGTGTAATCCCTGTAATGAGCTAAAATGAAGATTTTAGAAAAAGACAAAAAAAAAAAAAGATCAGGGGACATGTGTGCGTAAACGTAACGCGTTTAGTCTACTGCATACGTAGACTGCTACAAGAGCAACCAGCAACAAAAACACGCTGCCTGCTACAATACCTCGCATAGCGAGCAACTGGTCTTCTCTCACGCTAGCTTTCTTTTCTGAATCAGACGCCATCGTTGTTGATTGTTTTAATCTGCACACAGAAATGTTCGTGATCTGGATCGTGATTATCCTCACGCAAACTTTGCGGAAAATACGTTGAAGTCCGCCGACCAGTAAGGCTTCACTATGATGGGCCCATGTGAAGCGTTATGTATATCAACGCTGGTAACCAAACATTAAAAGGTCCCCCTTTTTGTCACAGAAAGACAAACAACAAAGACACTACTTTTCTGAATTGACACCAGCTGATCCATCCTCGGAGACCCAGGGGCAGTTAGTCGGGTCGATAAAATGTTCGTGGTGAAAGTTTACTGCCCCTGGGTCTCCGAGGATGCAGCTGATCATCATGGTACATTTTGTGGGCTGGTGAGGGACGGGGGAACCTGTCCTGAGCAAAGATGAGCATTACTAATGAAATATACAACACACTGGTGGGTGTGGTATTACGCGCAACGTCGCTTTTCAAGTCGTTTTCCAGCAATAGGGACCTTTAGCATCAGGTTTTTCGTGGGAAACGGCAAACCGCAAACCGCAAAATGTCACGTGACCACGGCCTTGCGGTCATGTTTGCAGTTTGCAGTTCACGTTTGAACCGCAGGAGGGGCTTCCAGCGGTAAGTGATTTACGGCAAGGTTTTTTGCCACAATAAATTGTACAGCCTCGCGTTTAAAGGTATGAACTAGCTTTTTGTATCCGTTTGCGATGTGTTTGTTGGATTTTTGATCTAGAATCAATGAATTATTGCTGAGTTTTGGGCGATTAAAGTGATGCACTTCCACTTGATGAAAACAACATGGCGGCCCTAAACAAGGAACGCGTAGTTCAAATCCTTTCTGCTGTACCAACAAAGGAAAGTATTCTCTTCCAATCCAGAGTTAATTTTTTTTTCTATCGCGTTTCTGAATTCATAACTTAACTCAGTCTCTGTTTGGTTCCTATTTTTAACGTATCACTCCGCGAATATCATTGTATTTTGCTTATCTCTTTTAGACTGGGGAGCCCAGGCTTCATAAAGCCTTCTGGTTTCTTCTGGGCCCCCTTGCAACCTTACAATTCCTATATGTATTCTTGTATTGTATTGTATTTTGGCTAAATAAAAATGAACTGAACTGAACTGAACGCCTTGCTGAAGTTTGAAATCTCGGCAACGCGAAACTGCAAACGCGTAACTGCGGTTTGCGGTCTGCGGTTTGCGGTTTACCTGATGCTAAAAGTCTCTAATGTCGCAAACAGGTTGCGCGTTTTGGTTGCCGGTTTAAGCGAAGGTTTAGGGCCTCTTCATATGAGCCCGGTTGACCGGGCTGGCTCGGTTACCGGGATGAATTTTGCTTTGGGTTCATATGAGAAATTTCAGCCCGGTTTCCGAGATGAGAAAAGGTCAAAGATCCTGGGTACGAGTTCTGGCGCCAAATTTAGGAAACAAAGCAAACATAGCGAAACACAAAAATTTTAACTTTTGGGCCTATCTTAGCATCGGTAACTCTTAAACCTGTATCACTGCAGTTAAATCGGATGCTTATGATGTGGAAAATACAGCAGGCAATGCAAGACGATGCCATCCGGACCGCCAGAATTCATCCCGCCGTTCATCCCGGTAACCGGGATGAAGTGTTCATATGGCAAAATTTCCAGCCCGCTTACCGAGATCTCGGTTGGAAAAACCGAGATCTCGGGAACCGAGCCAGCCCGCCCTCTCATATGAGCACATCGAAAATTTTACAAAGGATTTAGAGGTGAGGCGAGATCTCGGAAACCGGGCCAGCCCGGTCAACCGGGCTCATATGAAGAGGCCCTTTGACAGATAGTTCGGCAAGACAATTTGTAGCAATTTGATGGGCATCATGTTGGATAGACAGATCAGACCTTCAAGTCGCGTAAAATACCATGGGTGTAAGATTATCTTGCCTGTTTTGTCCCTTTAAGAAAAACAATTTAAGGGCAGGTAATTGATCCTTTATTGACAATAGCTTGTTCTGGCCATAAAAAACGCAATGAAAACAACAACTACAACTACAACAACAATAACAAAACAATTTGGCCAATGGGGCAGCTATCTTAATGCTTGGTCAATGATAAATAATTATATTTATACATTGCTCTTAGATCGTTCATGCATGTAATGATTTTAATTCACTATAGTTATGAGTCTCTAGGAAACAGGTGTTTTTCAGCCTTCTTCTTAACAATAAAATGCCAAATTGTAATTTTCACAGTTCAGCTTACTTCTTTGCATGTTTAGGTGACTTTAAATTCTTCTCCAAATTTTACAGTGCATTACAATCCATCCAGATACCAAGGAGACTCTCAGCAAACTGGGTGGGAGAGTATAAACTTTGAAATGCTACACTTTAACATTCAAATGGACACTTTGGATGAAATTAAACCTGCCTGCTTCTATTGTAACCAAAGTTGTTCATCACCAGGCGGTAGACACAATACACGTAAACACAAACAGTCGGGAAGGCTGTGACCATATGTCCAAATGCCCGATGAGCATGATAGTATTTGTAGCCGAGAGCGAACGTGAGGCGACCAAACATGAAGAGAATCACCAACACTGGAATAACATGCATGTTTTCAGATGACAGGTGAGTTGACAGAATGAGTGATGCTCCAGAACTCAGTAGATACTGCTCTAGTGTGTTGGATGCGTAACGGGGAGCTACCCCACTGAGATTCTGTTTCGCTGCGTCTTTGTCCAGAGGATTAATTGCGGTTGTAAGTCCTCGGGTTGCCTCTACCCACACCAGACCTGCAGCCAGATTCAAAGACGTCTTAGCTGGTGTCACATGTGCATTGAATTGAACAACGTTTTGCTCAATTTCTCCTTCTGTCACAGCAGTAACATGCATTGCACCGTAGTTACTAAAACAAGGAATGACCTACAATGACCTACAATGATCTACAATGACCTACAATGATCTACAATGAACTACAATGAGCTACTATGACCGAACGTGTAATCCCTGTAATGAGCTAAAATGAAGATTTTAGAAAAAGACAAAAAAAAAAAAAGATCAGGGGACATGTGTGCGTAAACGTAACGCGTTTAGTCTACTGCATGACGGCCCATTTAACGATGACAGCATCTCTAATTATTTTGCTTGGAGATAAATTTACAGTGTAATAATAAATGTATGATGATACTGTGACTTTTGTCCAAACCATCCCTTGCAACCTTTCGCATTAGTTTTATTTTGTCTTGTCTTTTTTTCAAACAAATTGAACAAACACAGTCACCCCAACAGTCGATCCGGGGAGATCTGCAAGGGACGTAAGGGTAGAGATGAACAAAGGAGGCCTTCAAATTCTGACCCAGTTCAAAAAAAATTTTTTTCATTTTTTTTAAGTACCCTGGCCTGTATAAGACATCATAAGACCCTTAAATGGCTTTCGGTCCAACAGGATGCTCTGTTTGTAACGCTAAATAGTAAAATCCATATCCCGCTCAGCGGCCCATACCATCTAGGCCAAATAAGGGAGTGCCTGCATGACTTCCGTCAATACAGGGTATAATAGTGCTATACCAGTAAAAACGCGATCGCAATAATCTATTTTCAAGTTTCTCAAGTTACCTGAGATCTAGCCTGCGTGCAGACGATAACTAAACTCTGATTAGTACGGACGGAGTTTTAACTCTGGTTAAAACCAGAGTTTAATTTCGTCTGCGCGCAGGCTACCTGAGATCAGGCACAATTTTTGTTTTGCCTTTTCAAAATGTGCTTGGCAATTTAATACTATGAGCCTAGTGTCACATCCAAGCGTGACACACGACAAACATCATTGTCCGTCATTTTGTAGTTCATTGTAGGGCTTATTTTAACTCATTTTAGCTCATAGTAGCTCATTGTAGCTCGTAGTAGCTCACCATAGATCATTGTAGGTCATTGTAGGTCATTGTAGGTTATTCCTTGTTTTAGTAACTACGACACACGTCCCCTGGTCTTTTTTTTTTTGTCATTTTCTTAAATCTTCATTTTAGCTCATTACAGGGGTTACACGTTCAGTCATAGTAGCTCATTGTAGGTCATTGTAGATCATTGTAGGTCATTGTAGATCATTGTAGGTCATTGTAGGTCATTCCTTGTTTTAGTAACTACGTGCATTGCACATACACTGAAATTATGAGCTACAGTGCATCATTATAAGGTGTCCTGCAATATGGACGCAACGAAGCGATGTTGAGGGTTGCTTGATATATATACACCTCTACATGCAAGTAGTTAAGTTGATTCACTCGTGAAATTAAAGAAACAACGTGCACTCAGAAAATTGAAAACGTAGTCATCAGATATCTGCAATAGCTAAGTAATTAATAAAATGATAATAAAAAGTTAAACATCCTTACCTGCAATTAGACCAAAAGCAGAAACAGCTTGCCACTGAAGCGTGAAAACTAGTTTGTCTTCCAAACTTGGCAAATGAGGTCTTGGTATAGGCCCGTAGACTGCTAAAAGAGCTACCAGCAACAAAAGCACGCCGCCTGCTACAACACCTCGCATAAAGACCAACTGGTCCTTTCTCACGCTAGCTTTCTTTTCTGAATCAGACGCCATCGTTGTTGATTGTTTGTATCTTTAGACAGAAATGTTCGTGACCTGGATCGTGATTATCCTCACGCAAACTTTGCGGAAAATACGTTGAAGTCCGCCGACCAGTAAGACTCGACTATGATGGGCCCATGTGAAGCGTTATGTATATTAACGCTGGTAACCAAACATTAAAGATCCCCCTCTTTGTCACAGAAAGACAAACAACAAACAAATTAATCGATATCGTCAGTAGTCGCCATAAGCTTGGATGTCACGCGAGGCGACGACCATCACGCAAGTTGATTTTTTGAATGTGCATTTTTCATTAAAACAAGAAGGACTCGACAGAACAAAGGCCATTGCAAGAAATGTCTCTGAATAAAATGTTTTGAACAGATTGCGGTGTTTTGGCCGTCTGTCCATTTCAATTTCTTCTTACACTGGCGGTGTAAAAATGTGAAGAGATATGTTACATGTGAACATACATGCACTGTAGCCTCAGGCTGGTAGATCTTGTTGCCGTCTTAGTCAGGACTACATTTTTAAATTTTTAGTTTTCAGGGATGTAATTGGTAATACAATGTAATTATTGTCAGTTCAATTAATCAGTAAAAATGTTTGGCACATCCTTGACGAGAAAGAATGAGCTGCAAAATTCATTTTCTCTGCAATTTGATACAGGTACAGAGTAATCTGCTTTTCAGACACTGTACCCCTTTCCCCCCGTGTCTGTAACACCTGAGTTTAAACATGTCATTGCAGCTGCTACTTTCTTTTTACATGCATAATGACCAACATCTATTTTCTACTAACCATACCAATACATAATCAAGCAAGAAGATTATGAGAGTTAAAAGGAAAAATTCAGTGATCATTAAGCAAATTTTCTCAACAAGCTCTGTAAGGAAATGTATGGAATCAGACACAAGAATTTGTATGTGGATATTGCAACATACCCTAATCTCCCAGCTTCAGCTGAGAAGTGCCCACTCAGCAACTCTCCAGGGATGTATGTCACAGTGGACAGTCCTGTGTTTGCAGCCAGTGTTCCATTGCAGATCATGCGCAGAAGCTGAAGCACTCTCATGTCATGTGACTGGAGACCACCGTTAGGAACAGATACATTGGTCAGTCTTACTGGGACACCCATTACAGTGCTAAGAGTTGCAATGGTGCTGAGAAATATTCCACTCTGGTGTGAAAAAGAGAAAACAAAAACAACCCATTGAATACTCTTGTTAAAGAGATTTTCTTTTACATATTATCATATATGCGTAACTTTTGGCCCAGTTCAAAGGTTGAACTTTTCATGTACTGAACCTGATCCCTTCAATTAAATACATGAGGAGATCGATGTTTAAATCAATTAAGTCCAACCTATATAATTCTATGCATAAAGAGTGGTACACATGAGAATTTTGATTGTGGAGCGACTTGGTTTCAAAAGGCAAACTTGTTATGTGCCAAACCTGATGCATTATCACTACAATATATTTTCCATGGTAAGTAATGTACAGGTACACCATTGTTGAACATGAATGGTTGACCTGAATAATTATAGGTATTAAGTTCAGGACGTAAAAATTTCAATGTTTGAACTGGGCCTTACTGACCAATCATGAGGTCAGGATGGCTGGATATTGGCCAAAGTTCTTTTTATTTGCATTTTTATGGACCAAATAAAAGTCAACGTCAGTAAGAACACAAAAAAGAACAAGGCCATCATCCAGCCATCTTGATCAGACCAGCGTCGTCAATTCACCGTGTGCATACCTCCCATAATACACCTTGTTTGCGCCCCAAAATTTTGCATAAGTATTGTCTTCAATTTCACTTTGGACCAATCAAATACCCAGGAGGAAAAAAAAACCGAGTTTATGCAAAAGTTCAGGGGGCAAACACAGTGTATTTTGTGAGATGTGCAAATGGCAAATAAAAGATTTATGCCAAAAAGATAACTTTTTTGTTGTGGGACCAAGGCAGAAAATCCTGAGTGAGTAAGATTTCCCATCTTTCCACTGCTTTCTGAGTTTTACAGTGTACAGCATACATTACGTATATGTTGTGGTTCAATTTTATCCTTGGTTTAAATTTTACTTCCTTTTGTTTTCTACTCATTATCATACATAACCGCCCATACCCCCCTCCCCCCCCCCAAAAAAAAGGGTAATAAAACTTAAACCAAGGATAAAATTGAACCACAACATATACATTTCAGTATCTTTCCTAATTTAATAAGGTTTTCAATTAAAATAACTGAAAGAAATGTTTGATACTATACGTACATTTAACACCAAAAACAACTTAGCAAAATACTGTTACCTCTCTTGTCCCATTCATGTCAATCTCTAACATTTCATCTGTCAGTCGCAGCATCTTCTCGCCAGCATCTTTCTTCTTTACACTCCTCATAGTGAAGTAAGCACCAATTTCTTTGTCATACTCCCTCCTTGAATTCAAATTACTAAGCACACTGTATGCCTTGGTCAGTTCTGAAAAAAATATATAAAATCTAAATTATATAAACAAAAAAAGCTCATCAGCAACTAATGTTATGTAGAACCACCCAAATATCATGTCTTTAATGATGCCCAAACAAACTGCATGAAACAATCAGCAGTTAAGTTTTCCTTGTCCTGCAACTTTAACCTCAAATAGAGCTTACCAATTAAGACATGTGTCCTTATGATTATTTATTAGAAAAGGTGCACTATAAATGGTAAAATAATATTAAATAATTTCTTTAACATTTCAAGTCTTAACAGTGGTTAACATCAATTTTCTCCTAACAACATCAATGCATCAAAATTTCATGATCACCAACTGCTTTTATCTGTAAACAAATTCTCTAAATAAGTCCATTAAAAAAATGCATGCAGAAAAGTGAAGGAAATTTGTATGTGGTTATGGGGCTGAAAGGGTTAACAATGCTTTCTAACTAAAAGTGCAGGAATGTCAAGAAGAACCCAGGTCTGACAACTGCACACCTGTAAATTAAACCCTCTTAGAGTTTTTCCCCTGATAAGAAATAAAAGGGTCAAAGTCACAACAGAACAGAGTCCCTCATTCAGAGAAAGGGGGGTGTTTCTTTTGACCAAACTTGTTCAAATAGCTACCTCTTCAGGAATGACTTGTTAACCATCCTGCTCTACCCTAGGATTTCTCTATATATCACTGGGAGAGGGGTTGGTGGGCAAAACACTGACCCCCAGTCCATGAACTACTCCACGGACCATCCATATGGACTAATCTAAAATGGACTACACCACTAAAGATTAGTGATTTGGGTTACCAAACTGAGTGAGTCAAGCTTCACATCAGTTTCCCCAAATGAAACCCGATTCACTCAGTTTCGTAACCTTAAATCACTAGACTTCAGCAGGGTAGTCGATTTTAGGGTAATTAATATGGGTAGTCCATGGACTGGGGGTCAGTGTTTTGTCCACCACCGAGAGAAAGAGGGGGTCTAAAAGACTACAAGGAGCGTCATGCTGCAAAGAGCTCCTACCACGTGGGCCTCATTAGCTTGTCTGCGCCTTTACATATCGACTATAAAAAATTTTTGTATCCTAACAAACCTGTGAACATATGCTGGGCTTCTTCGCTCTTGTTCACGTCTGGATGATATTTCAGCGACAATTCATAATACGCGGCTTTAATTTCAGCCTGTGTGGCGGAGTGCGACACATCCAGGACATCATAAAGTGATCTCCGTTTGGAAAGTGTCCGGCCGTGAAGACATCTTGCAGTGATGGTTTTCACAGGACGAAATAAAGACAGGAATGAGAGTACCTGATGTCCGACCGTATTGTGCTTCATATTGTGTCCAGCAACAGCCACACTTCAGTCCAACGTGAGTGTTAAATTTGTAGGGAACATGGATAAAATCTTAGAAAAATAAAGTTCCTCGACGAACTCGAAAGAAGTGAGGAAAAATTACGATAAGTTTCATTGCCAAGGGTCATGATGCATCCGCCATTTTAAAAAATTTAACTAGTACCCAGATCTCCAGCTCAAAATATCAAGACAACTCTTTCCTAGTCTCTACTCACCTCTGCTTCAGGATGAGGCCATGAGGCTAAGCCATTGGTGCTCTCGAAGGGTAAACGAAGCCGTCGATATAAGAGGGTCTCAATGGGGTTAACCGATAGGCGTAAACCGGCCAAAAATTTAGTCGATAGCCGTAAAAATTGAAAAAATTTAACCGTTAGCCGTAAATAGGGTAAAAAAGAGTTAACCGTAAAAGAATTGTTCCCTAGATTTGCTACTTTTAAGGAAGGTACTAAACTCACTTATGGTTACGTTTTTCATTTCCCTGCTATTGTGACTCCGTACGCACGTTAGGTAAAGCGCCTTTTAGGTGTTGACCAAGACCCATTTCCATTTCCGCCGTTCTCTCTGGGAACTTATTTTTTTTTCCATAGCGAAAGTGTGGCTTCTTGCTAGGGATTAATATTTGCGATTTTCAGAAGGTCTTGCCCTCCAAACACTAGTGAAACAACATGCAGAGATCTCACTGTTTATAAAACACGTTGCCGATAAACAACATTTCCCTGTTTTTCTGTGACGCTACAGTAGACATTGCCATGCCATGCCTAGTCCCTGTACGGCGTCTTCCCACGCAGTCTCGGTCAAGGCATTTCGGTGGCGAACTCGCTCGGACCAGGTGACCCGAAACGCATTAGCCGCGCGAAATAATGAGGCCTACGGACATGGCAACGGCTGACAGTCGTTCCGTACAGTCTGTTAGAAATTATTGCGTCATTGTGGCGGGAAAACTCGTCACGTGATCTGAAAACTGAGCTTTGCACAAGAGTCTTAGAACTGTGTAGTCGTTCGGAGTCGTGGAGCTGATCAAGTGTGTGGATTGAGTGTAGATCATCGAATTTTTACGTGAATTGATGTCGATGAATCCTTTAAGTGTAGAACAGAGTACAGAATTCTAAAATATGAACATGTGAAGAAATATGCTTTAATGGAGTGAAGAATTAAAACTACAGAGAACTGATTATATATACAACATTTGGTTTCATGGTCCTTCGCAGTCGCCGGATCGGCGAAACAAGTTTAATCAATTAATCGTCAAGAGCAGGATTACAGTACAAGAAGAAAACGATGGACAACGAAAAAGCAAAGAGAATTAGAAATGCCCACAGAGCTTTTGTGGAGAAAACGATGGAAGGTGCGACGAGGATTTTAGTCGAGCAAACTGCCGATCACGTGGAAGATTCATCAAGGGAAAAACTTATGGGACTGAAATTCACCCTCAGTGAAAGGCTAGAAACTATCCAAAAGCTGGACGAAACAATTCTGGAAAATAGTAAGGGGAGAGACATTGAGAAAGAAGTCGAGGATTGCGGTGAGTTTTGTGCAAAAGTTTACCGTATTTTGGCTAGAATTGACTTGAGTTTAGAGGATGCTAAAAATAGC